AACACGACGTAACCATGGATTTCGTATAGTATATATAATATCGTAATAATACTAAGCGAAAATACCATAATTTTACCTAAAGGTCGACTTGTATTATTATTGGGTCCTTTTACATTTTAATATTAACCCTACGATATCGAGAATTTCTGTATTGTACATGAGTACCGCGTTTTTTTTTATTAAAATTAGAATTAGGTCCATTCTGGTCAATCTATGTTTGACCAATTTGGTCAATCGATGCATTTATGTTGCATTCTTTACAACTATAATTAGGGGCTATCACGATAAAAACTCTATACTCAAGAAGCAATCAGTTTGAAAACAGAATTTCAAAATATTTTATGAATCAGATTTTCAGAACCAATTAAGCAGATATAGTTTCTTTTGTACTTTTACCCTTATTGAATATAAAATATATTAGGTACAAATATTCAAAATTCAACTTACACTAAGTTCTTTAGACAAAAATTAAACAGAAATAAAAATAAAACCGTCAAAAAACGAAACGTATAGATAAACTAGACGCGTGACGCCAAAATCCCGGCACATTGGAAAAAAGAAACATGAAACGTCAAACGTGATATAATTTTTTTAAAATAGTATAATTTTATTTTTCATGTACAATATTTTTGAGGGTCTGAATCCAACCCTGGCCTAATCTTGGTAAGGTAACTAAACTAACTGTAAAATAAAACTTTAAAAATGCGTTTATATAATAATTTAATTGTAACAAAATTAATATAAGGTTATTTACCGACGATACGATATCCCATGTTTTTTTTTAAATCTTTGTATCGTAATTTTTGCATTCTTTTACCACGCAACTAGACATATTTATGACAGGCAAATCTGTCCTGCGCGCGCACTACTGTCGACCGATTCGCGTTGGCCCTAAACTGTAATTTTAGGGCCAGCGCACTGATCCGTTTTAGTTGTTCGGTCGGCCGGGTCCTTACGCTAGTAATATATAAGTCAATGACAAAAGCATTTTTACATTGTAGTTCGAGAGAGATACTCCTCTGTGAATTTTAACATAATATTATCCTTAAAACTCGTATTTTCTTAATATTTTCGTAAAACACCAAGTGTTACCGTCATAGTTCATGAAGTGAAAATGAGTTATTTTTAAATAAATATAATTTACTACCTACACAAAATAAATATGTCGGTACCTGCGCCATTGCACGTGCAGCCGCGCCTCTGTGGTTCGTCGGAATTATTGTAAACAACACATGCACCGCACACCTGCGCATTGCACCTGCAGTGGCGCTCGAGTAGCTACTTGTCTCGATTGTATAAAACTGACGGAGCGGCCGCCGTTAAGGCAGTCATGGCTCTGGCACGGTTCACTTGTTGTATCCCGCTAGTAGCTCATCCTAGACTATTCGGATAATTAATTCGTGGAAACGATTTGTCTGCCGAACTTGTCTTTGATCTTTTGTTTGGAAATCGTAATAAAGTATTACAAAAAGCAGTAAATTTTTCTATTACTGGTTTGTTTTCACATATTTCCAAGAGATCCTCTTAGGCAACGCACTTGGATTGCACCTTGTAAAAATCATGAATCTTCCACACCTAAACGGACTAGGACCGTTTGCTCCGAATTTTTTGATGAATTATACTTAATACTCCAAGCTATCAATAAAAGAAGGTTAACCGATACTGCTTTACCAACCTTGAACTTGAGGGAGGTAATGTTTAGCTGTAATTATATCAATAGACTAAATATTTTTACTATTATCCTTGACACCAATATTATTCTTCTAAAAAATATTTTAGATTTCGACAAGTTCACAATAATGATTTCTTATATTTACGTGAACACTACACATTAAAGAAACTAATCTCAAGCATTTTATCGTGTTTAATTTTGAGTTTTTGATTCCTAACGTTTTGGGTGCTTTACAACACGATCTTTGATGTCATCCTTTGACAAAGTGCGGCACTTACTGAGGCGGTGGGGCAAAAACGCGACTTTATATAAACGAACAGAATCTACACAAAGGAAAATTAAACTAAAAAAACGTCTCGAAATAAAAAAGCAATAGTATAAAAAGGTTTCAATCGCAGTAACGGTATTTAAAGAAAAAAGTAACAAGTTTGCAAGAAATACTAGATTCGCAGACAGAAACATCTTTGATAAATAACGAAAACAAATAGGTCCCACAGAAGAGAAACTGATGAAAGCGAACTTTTAAAGAAACAATTCCCTGATAGTAAAAATGAAAAATTGCCCAGAACTAAATATTCCACAGAGTTAAGATGTTTTGCCCTAACATTTAATTATAAACGAAAAGCCTATCGCTATGTACATTTTTATGTACATAGCGATAGGCTTTTCATTGGAACATGTTTTCCTGCTTACGGATATTGCGCATACTTAGAAAATACATCAACGATTGTTAAATATTTTTCGCCTTGAATTGTAAGTAGGTCTATATGAAGGATTTCAAGAGGCTTCGTTGCCGGAGGAACTAAATTAAATTGTTGCTTTATGGGGTTTCGATCATATTTCGCTTGACCGCAGACAGTGCAGTTATTAATAAATTTTGTAATGTTGTCCTTCATCTTTGGCCAGTAATAGCGACAACTTAAAGCTGAATGACATTCATTTATGCCCCGGTGGCTAGTTTTACCTTCATGATAATGGTTTAATATCTCTTGTTGTCTAAGATATTCCTTCACGTTCTTTACTTCGAACTTAGCCAATACTAAATTCATGGAAGAGCTCTTAAATGTTTCTTGGATGTTAGGTATGATATCGTACATAGCCAAAGAAGGACTTACGAGCAACGCCGTTTTAATTTTTGGATTTACGAACTCTTTAATTACGTCTACGACATCAGTTTCTAAGTTTGACGCAGATACTTGTACAGACGTCCTTGTGTGAGTATCAAAGGGCTTAGAGGACGTCGAACGCTTGTTAATATCGCCAACAACCGTTATAGATAACTGTCTGTGATATTTATTTAATGGTTCCACAATGATTGGGACTTCTAAAATTGGATTCTCTAAGCTTGTGTGCGCCGAGGCTGTAGATGAGTTCTCTACTGAAGTTGGGTGCTCAGATGGATTTGCAATCATCGAACTAGTCTCCTCATTGTGAATTTCGATGCGAGACAGGGCATCGGCGTTAGAATTACAACTGCCCTTTTTATAAGTCACAGTGAAATCATACTCCGAAAGTTTGAGTTTCCAACGAGTTAAACGCGAGTTGGGCTCTTTAAGATTCATAACCCACTGGAGTCGCTTATGATCTGTCACAATTTTGAATTTCCTTCCGAATATATCGAAATAAATATAACTGTAGGATGTAATTTTTTTTTGGTTGCCCAGACTATAGCGAGGAGTTCTTTTTCGATGGTGCTGTAATTGATCTCGCTCTCGTTTAGAGTACTAGAAGCATAGCACACTGGTTTGTCCGCGCCTATGGATCCTTGCGACAGTATAGCATCTATCGCCAAATTAGATGCATCCGTTGTAAGCAAGAAATCTTTAGAAAAATCCGGGTATTGTAAAATTGGATCATTAGTTAATAATAATTTACACTTTTCAAAGCAAGCAATATATTCTGAATCTGCTACAATTTTCCTACCTTTCTTTAGACACTGTGTTAAAGGTTTTGTTATAGGTGCAAAGTCTGGGATAAATTTTCGGTAGTAACCTATCAAGCCGACAAACTGCTTAATTTCCTTAGGCGCTCTAGGAAGTGGATATTTCTATATGGCAGACATTTTATCAGGATTCGGTTTTATACCATCCTTACTGATCTCGTGTCCGAGATAAGCATTGCTTTTGATTTTGAGACACGTTTCTGGGTGCAAGTTGAAAGTTATTCTGATGGGGGTTGTAATTTGGGGGTGGTGCGTGCACCATTAGCTGAGTACGCGACTGCATGTTCATTGGTCTAACTGGTATTGGTTGGGAATTTAGCTTCCACCCTTGTGGTTGCGGCTGCCATATTTATGGAGGTCGTGCAAAAAAATTGAGTGGTTTAAACGTGGGTAAGTTATTAAGTAACATAGGCATAGGTTTAGGTACACACAAACACATACACACACACACACACACACACACACACACACACACACACACACACACACACAACAAAGTCGCACACACGAATGTCGAAGTGAAATAAAACTATGTAAGATAAGGGCAGACAGCGACCTAACGGTGCGTCCACTCACAGAATTGTTAAATCTTCAAATAAAGCTACAGATATTGCAGATTATATTTATTTCGAAATGTTTGTTTATGATGATATTATAGTACATAATATTATTTTTTTTAAATCATCGCTGACTAACCTATTCGTTTATTAAGGAAGTTAATCTTTCGAAGGCGACGTTTTGATTCATGGAGTCAGATGAACAGGCAACATCGTCTAAACTAATAAATCATAAAAGTTTGGTGGAATATAATATGATCTTTATAACAAGATTGTTGCGCCTATTGCAATTATCGTCATCAATAAGTAATGCTAAAGAATGTTGCAGGAAAGAGGTATAAAGAATGAATATATGACGAGTTGTTCATTCGCGGTACTATATTTAAAATGAAATGGTTGAATATAGATAAGTTTTAAAGGTTTTAAAAGATCTTTCTGGGCATGTGAAATATAAGTGGACAAACGATGTAATAAGTGCTTTGATGTGATACAAATCTCAAGTTTTATTATTTGCTTAGCCGTCTTGAGATATTATAGTCAGTAACTATCCATTAGGTTAAGCTAACGTCAAAATTTTCCAAAGTATCCGCAATGTGACGGCATCTTATAGTTGTGTGTACAGACTACCCGTAAGGTTAGGCTGTATGGGCTTTAATCCCTTGACCCTTAAAAATAAATATAGAACCTTTGACATTTTGACAAGTTTGTTTTGAATTTGAAGTTATAAATTTGACAAAGCGATAAGCGATAGGAGGAGACTAATTTTGAAAAATAATCCAAATCCATCTGCTATTATTTTATTATAAATCAAAAATAATTGTTATTAAAAATGGCTCCAAAGGCTGGTGGTGACTCTGCGAAAGTTAATTCATCCGTTTATAAGAACAAGAGTAAGCCCGCTGATGTAAGGCTCAGCAATATAAACGCAGCAAAAGGTTTTTTTTTTAATTTTTTATCATAATTCACTAAAATATTATTTATTTGCGTAGTTGCCGTATTAAATAGATGATATTTATTTCACCAACACATTTGACTAAAATATTTACAGCTGATTCTAATGGCACAACTAAATAATGTTACTTTTGTTTTGGTTTGTAATTCGAACCGGCTGTTAAAATTTTGTATGAAATATTGTTTGGTATTTAAAATTTTACATTTATTTGCCATTGGGATTGGAAAAAACATACTGAAAATTTAAATGTAAGTCCATTTTATTGTGAAATCTAGTTGAAAAACACTTAAAATTTTATGTTTTATTTGTCACATCTATTCCCAATATAGGGTAAAGCAGCAATTTTATTTTACAAATAAAAAATATTACTCTGAATACGTTTTTGGATTTCACATTCATATTTTGTTTGATTCTGGCATAACGAAGTTGTTTAAAAGCCAATATCCATTTTTAATGTGCTATAAGTGTTTAGTCAACTGGAAGAAACAATGAAATGAAGTGTTTTTGAGATAAAACTATCCATTTTTAATAGCGCCTCGATAAGGTATGTCTAGTGAATGTTGTCAAAATTAATGAAATGAAATGTCTTTTTGATCTGCATTTCAATAATTTTAGCTTATATTGATGTTAATGTCTCAATTTTCAGTCTTTTTTTATTTTTTTTTCTGGGTGTCTACAATAGAATGACTTGATTTTTGAGATTATTATTTTTAAAATTGTTTAGTTAAAGCTATATCAAAATGAAGATGTTAGATTTGGAATGAAATTTTATTGAATAATAACCTCCTAGTGTCTATTCATCTGCTAATCTGATTACTAATATATTTTATTCGTCCATTAATCAGATGAATCTGATCATGCAATATCAGTAACAGTAGGTTGAGCTGCGGCTTGGGCCACCTCATAGCTCCATACATTGTATTGATGTAATTGTTTACTATAAATAAACTAAAATATAATATTGGAAGAATTGATTTCACATTGATACTAGCACTATGTCAGTCATTGAAAGCACTATTTTACAGATTTTATATAAAAGATGGTGCTACTACTGACATTTAAATGTGGTAGGGCCATGCTGCATCTGTTATAATTGTGTAGTTGTAGCATGAATGGGTCGGCTTGATCGAGAAAGGACCACGCTCATACAGAATTCCTGCGTAAAATAGCATCTTAATACTGCTGTGTGCATTCCATCTTAGTCCTTAGGGGAGACAATGCATCTGCGTTTTGATTCTTAATCGGGGATAAATGTAGATGTCTATGGGCCACAGCATTCACTTACCATCAGGGGACTGTGTGCTCGTTCGTCGCCCTTATTCTATAAAGAAATTTAGTTGTTCGGCATTGACATTAAACATGGCGTTGGAGTTTTTGAAGTTGATTACAATGTACCACAGTTATTAAGATTAAATTGCAACTAAATAATACTGGTATTATAATTTTTAGCCGTGTCAGATGCTATCCGCACAAGTTTGGGACCTCGTGGAATGGACAAAATGGTAAGCTAATGTTAATTTAATTATTTATTATAAAATAATAATGATCCAGTGTATTGACCCATTGCCATTTTAATTGTTTAACAATACAGTCAAATAAATCTAAAACTAAGCATGACTGTTGGAAAATATAAAGCTATCATTGTACATTAATTACTTTTGTTGTAGATTTCACATTTATACACATTTTTCACATATATGTTTTTTGAATGATTAATGATTACTTACAAATAATTATAAACCTAATGATATAATGATTTCTTATATTTACGCGAACACTATACATGATTAAAACTACTTTTACGGATTTTATCGCGTTTATTTTTACTTTTTATTTACTTTTATTTTTAATTCCCGATGTTTCGGGGCGCTTTCCAGCACCCATGGTCATGGGGGACTGAGATGACTGACGTCTCGATGTCATTGTTAAACCCGGAGTACCTTCAGCTTTTTTAATTATTGTTTATGGTCCGATCTATGCAAAATGAACTGACTATGTCCTGAGGTCTTGCAGTGGTATGCTTGGGTTTAGTTTTAATTTTATTGATTATAGGATCCCAAGCAGGTGGTAGTACCCAGCCTCCTTCTCTATTGAAATTAGGATGTTTTTTAATTTCAATAGCCTCACGTATCATCCTTGGTAGGAATCGGTGTTCTTTCACGAGGATTTGTGATCTATCAAATCTGATGTAATGGTTGGGTCCGTCTAGGATATGATCACAAACTGCAGTTTGCTATATAACTAAACATAATATATACATGCATTTTCTCTCATTATTTAGTGTTTTCTTTATTATTTTCTGAAAAAATCAGAGTATTGAGTAGTTTTGTGTTTTCATTCAATTTTGTTGTGAATTTAATACTTTAAATATAATTTTTTTTTTAAGAAAATTAGGTACCCTCATATTTAAATGTGTTTATTAATTACTTCTCTTTTAGCACTTATATTATAATATTTTTATTATTTTATATAATTTTTATTTTCTTCAGATCCAAGCAGCCAATGGAGAAGTAACAATAACAAATGATGGTGCTACAATTTTGAAACAAATGAGTGTTATCCACCCAGCTGCTAAAATGGTATTCTAAATGTGTTATTTCAAAAGTCATTTTTAAACAAAATACACTGATATAGTATGTGCCAAATCGATTGAGAAATACGGATAATGACCTTTTAGGTCATTTAACCAAGGGTTACAAACCTTCAATATATAGACACTTTTTATAATAATAATAATAATCTTTATTTGCGTAAAACATGGTATAAATGTTGTTAATATGTAAAAATGAGAGCTCGTGTTTTTCTTATTTTACATAGCATGCATTTTAAATAATATAATGATTAATTAAATGTAAATTCTGAGCATCGTCAATTTCAATACTTAGTGAAAATTCGCATAACTTAATTAAAGATATATTGTAACTATACTTTAACAATAATATTTAAATGAAAGTTTATATAATAAATATTATCTGATACATAATCTAATTTTTACTATCCAAGAATTTTTTTATGCTATAGAAATTATTTTCATTGAGCAATTTGTACAATTTCCTTTTGAACAATGTGATGTTTAGGGTTTTAAGTTTGTCAGGGAGTTTGTTGTATATTCAGACAAACATGGTAAGGCAACTTTTGCCATATTTTTGTGATTTAGGTATACCCTTAAGTACTAGCTTGTGTGGGTCCCTATGTGAGCGAGTAGACTGCACCTCACAAGCTTTCTCGAATAATTGTTTGTGTCTCTAAACAAAAATACAAATTTCAAAAATATATAATGCTGGTAGTGGCAGTATTCTAAGACCTTTAAATAGAGGCTGACACAATTCGTCAGGTTGTTTTCCGCAGATTGCTCTAATACACTTTTTAACAACATGATCATATATTATATATATGATTGTAAACTGTAAATTTAAAAAACAATGTCCTGCTGCTTTTCTTGCTGTGCTTCCCAGAACGGAGGTATTTTCCGAACCAGTGGTGAATTAAACATAATACATAAATAAGTATTACTTATAATCTATCATGAATAAAAAGTTTGTATTTCCATTTTATTTACCATCAGATGAACTGTGTGCTCGTTTGTCACACCATCATATAAAAAAAAATTTGATAGATCTGACAAAATGAACACAGTCCTTGTTGTTCAGATCAAAGGTTGCATCTTTTAGTTGTAAATCAAGTACCCTTTTGTCGCATAACTTTTGTGTTTTTTTTTTTGCTGACATATATGTATTTGTTAACAGAACAAGTAACACATTGACTTGAAACATCTATAAATTGTTTGTAAATCATAAAATTTCACATTAAAACAATTGTTTTAAATTAAAAAAATTGTATAATTCATATTAGTTAAAAAAATCAAAATATAATATCTTGAAAACTTATGTGTTTCTGCAATATAATATTTTGGGACTAGACTAATAAAAATAAGATCTATATAGCTTATTAAACTTTGAATCTATATAATCATGCTATTCATAAATTCTTTAAAATGGAAGGAAGTTAGTTTAATCAAAGCTTCTAATAACATTTTTATAGGTAATCTGTCAAATCCTCATACTATTAAAATTTAAAAAGGGGATTCCCTTTTTGTCAAAAATAAGAATAAATTTATAATGAGAATAAATTGTTCAATGTTAATGACAATAGCAAATGTGGAGAGATTTTCATATATGTATAATTGCATGGTATTTCATGTTTTATTCGAACCACCCTTTTTTAATTATTGTGCTTTTAGTTTTTTATTATTAAATATTTCAATTTCAGTTGGTGGAATTGTCTAGGGCACAGGACATAGAAGCTGGAGATGGTACAACCTCTGTTGTGGTGATTGCTGGAGCTCTTTTGGATGCTGCTGAGAAGCTTTTACAGAAAGGCATTCATCCAACAGTAATATCTGATGGATTCCAAAAAGCACTGCAAATGGCACTACAGGTTTGTACTATTCATGTTATAGGGCATGTTGAATAGCTACTATTATATATTTATATTTAACAACTGTTACAGCTTATTAAAGTCTTCTGCTCGACACAGGCCTCCTCATAGGAGGAATATTTGCCATAGTTGCGCTTGGCAAGGAGGTTGGCAACCACAGCTTTTTTTATTTTTAAACATTATTAGGAAGACGCTGCAGTCCATCTGATTTGTTTCCCTCTATCGTCTCTTACGACACCAATGGGACGATATGGGGTAGTGGATGTACTTACACTGCCACTACACAGTAATTTATGACAAGACTGCATACAACTTGTTACAAACGAATAAAACTACTCTGATTTTATGACATTGGATTAAAAAAGTGTGCACATATTATCATTTATTATGATCAAGATGAGACATCATAGTAATGTTTGTGAATATTTGTCAAACATTTTTATTATCAATATTTATCAAACATTTAGCTATAATACCTGTATTCTAATAAAGAAAATTTTAGATAATAAAATACACAATTAAAATTGGTAACAAATAAAGGCAAAGGAAGGAAAGTACTTCGTAACACTAATAATACTTACATTATTATGGTAGGAACAAACTATGGTAAACAAAGTATACTTTTTGATGGAGCAAAGTATATCATAAACTACCCCAAGAAATAATAATATTAAAAAGTTTTAACATCTTTAAAAGCAAACTAAAACAACACATAATGAATAAATTCTAAACCCAACCCTGCCCATATGCCGACCACTAATCAGCGTTAATCAGTAAAGATAAGAAACATTTTGCTTACTACACACTTTATTAACTTGTATTCTAAAAGATTGGTAACCTGTTAATTAATACACAAAAAGATAATACAAGAAGTATTAAGCTGTATGCATAAACTATGAGCGACAGTAGCCTAATGGCAGGGCGCGGACCGCGAACTCAAAAGGTCGTGGGTTCGAATCCACATTCGACTACTGGCGTGAACCACTCGTAACACAAGCAATTTAAGCTTACCACGAGTGGTTAAGGGGAATATTAGTATTTTTTTTTTTTTTTTTTTTTTTTTTTATGTTTATATATATATATCATTGTAATATTCTTTATAATAAATAAGAAAAACTAGTAAGAAGTTGTATGTAACGAAACTCTTTCCTTCCTTTTTAATGTGTGTATATAATTTTTTTACAATCTGTATGCTCATAACTCATTTATAACTTGAATATTGTAACTTTTCATTTAGTAAAATGTATATTTCTTTTGAGATTTATTATCTTTATCCATAATATGGATGCAAGAAACATCTTATCATATTGTTGGTCCTATTCTAATGAAAGTAACATTTGTGAATACAGGCTATAAATTACTAATATGTCTGTTATTTGCGTGCTATAGAGAAGCAATTAAGAATATTTGTATAATACTAAAAAGTGAGTGGATGCGCCCATGTTATCATATATGTACATGTACATTTTACTTTTAACTATAATTTGTTTTATAGTCAACCAAATCTAAGAAATACATTTTGACAGATGCGAGACTTATTGCGCCAAGCATGTCAATCAAAAAATAGGAACGTACAATATTCGATTCTTAAAAAAATCAATATAGATTATTTAGAGTTGGTAATCAGTTACAGTTTGGTTTGAATACCAAAATAAATTTTAGGTTTTTTCAGCGTGGCCGTGTATATATGAGTTTTTTGCCTACACAAATTTACATTGACAAAGTAAAAAAAAATAACTTGTTTTAATCATGATTCATCTAATTTAAGGAATTTTAAAAGTAAAAATTTAATTAAACAATACATTAAAAAAACAATGATTCGATTATTTGAATAGTTTTACCGATTATTTGAATATTTTTGCCGATTATTCGCATAACAATGAATTTTAATCATCTAAACACTACGGTAAGCTACATAGCGACATATCATTGAAACAATGGCAAGTAAAAAAGTTGAATACTGGTTATTTTTTAAATATTTTGCTTTGTTTGAAAGATTCGGATTTAAATTAGTGATTAAAAAAATATACACGTTGTATATGAAATATAGATAACTTCATAATTCTTCGGATTTACGTAAAAGGGTATTTTAAATCGTGTGAGTATGCTTGTGCAAAGTTATTGCGGAATGATTAATGTGAAACGTCAAAAGGTATTTCTTAGATTTGGATTACTATAGCAATAATATTTTTTAGGTTAACTAATATCTCAGTTTGTAACAGGTTGTGGAGAGTATGTCAACTCCTGTTGATCTTACTAATGAAGATGCGCTTCTCAAAGCAGCTGCCACTTCACTTAACTCCAAAGTTGTCTCTCAACATTCTTCAATTTTAGCACCCATTGCAGTTCAAGCAATTTGTGCAGGTATGTTTTCAAAGGATTATAATATACCTTACGAATTGAAAGTGAAGGAGCTTTAAAAATCTTTGGTTTATAGTAATGGAGCCCATCACCGGAGGTGTGGGTGCCCGCGTGGATTTACGTGACGTTAAAGTCATAGAACGTATCGGCGGAACTGTGGAAGATACCGAGTTAATTCAAGGACTTGTTATACCACATCGTTCTGCTAATGTGAATGGGCCACATCGCATTGAAAAGGCTAAAGTTGGACTTATCCAGTTTTGTATTTCACCACCAAAAACTGATGTAAGTTTTAAAACTTTTTTTTTGTAAGCAAAAATGTTTACTTGTTGTATGTAGTATTTTAGGTATAAGTATATAAAAGTGCATGATTATAACATATTTTTTATATTTTACTAAATAAAATAGTTACATCTTAGTACAATATTCAATGAAAATGCACATTTGGTATTGCATTTTCAGATATTTGATATAACTTTCACATACTATTCACTAATATTTATAGAGATCTAAGTGCTGATTTACCACGTGCTCGACGGTGAAGAAAAACATATTAAGAGACATGCGTGCCTGAGAAATAAAAAATATTTCGAAGACCCGTGAAGTCGCCAATACGCATTGGGACAGCGCGGCGGACAATTCCTTGGCCCTCACAGAAGTGTGGGGAGGCCTGTGTGCTGGGCCTGCTGCTCCTGCTGGCTGGCTGCTGCTGCTGGGGCCTATATAGGCTTTTTTCAACTTTTACTAAAAATCACAAAGGAAGAAATTAAAAATCACTTGACAGGGTCATGGGTATTAAGATGATATAAGATTTATGGAATTACGCCGGGAAATTTTTTTTTCGTTAGCACGAATTAGAACCAATAATAGAACATATAAAATGTCGTGTAAGTGGCGGTTAAGAATATCCACTACCCCATATCTTCCCGTGGGTGTCGGAAAAGTCGACAGAGGGAAACAGGCAGGAGATGGGCAGCAGTATCTTCCTGATAAATGCAATTATATAACAAAAAACTGCGGTTGCCAACCCGCTCTCCATGCGTGGCAACTATGACGATATACCCTCATGAGCAACGACACAAATAGACGGCCCCAACTCTACGGCGGCCCCGCTATTCTTGGCTACGGTGGCGACCATGGTAACGGCGGGCAAGGGGTGTTAAGAATCTCCGGTGGAGGTATGGTTGCCACCTAAAACAACTTGACCTGGCAACATACAACGCACGCACCCTGAAGAATGACAAGAAGATCCTGGAACTGGTAGAAGAGATAGACAAGTTGCGCTGGAATATTATAGTGTTATCCTATCCGAGGTCCGAAGAGAGGGGGAATAGATGTATGGCCAGCTGTTTCCAATATTGTCTATGTCACTCTGCTGAGATTGAGCCATATGTGATCTTAATCCGCTCAGCTGGATGAGTGTGAGTGTGACGTGTGCTCCAGAGTTGGCACCGGTCTTAACGCGTGTTTTCCGGTACTCCTACTTTCTAGGCGTAGTCCCAAAATCGTGGAAGACGGCTTTCGTCCAGCCGATCCCTAAAAAAGGCGACCGCTCAGACCCGTCCAACTACAGGCCCATCGCCATCACCTCCTTGTTCTCTAAAACAATGGAATCCATTGTAAACTGCCAGCTCATGAGGTACCTTGAGAATCACCAGCTGATTAGTGATTGCCAATACGGTTTTCGTCGTTGTCGATCAGCTGGTGATCTTCTGGTCTACCTGACTCATAGATGGGCGGCGGCAGTAGAGTCCAAGGGGGAGGCATTGGCCATCAGTTTGGACATTGCGAAGGCCTTCGATCGGGTTTGGCACAAAGCGCTTCTTTCGAAGCTCCTTTCCTATGCGCTTCCAGAGAAATTGTGCAATTGGATCACCAGCTCACGATGATTCTCGAATCCGGCAACTTTTTCTATCACCGGGACCGGGCGACCATATGTCCCGAGGAGGTTTTTGATTTATTGTCCACTAGTCTCTCATTAACAACATTGTAAAGATTGGGAGTGTGTCGACGAGGGTTGCGTACCTTATACTCAGAATCACCAAACGGTATTCGCTGAAAGTTGATCTGGTCGACCCCAGAGGTTCGACAAAAAATGAGATTGACTACATTATGACGACTAGACGGCAACTGTTTAGTAATCGCAAGGGTGAAAACTGGCAGCGATCACCAAATGGTTAGAAGCACACTGGACGCTTAGTTGAAGACAATACACAACACAACTTCAGTGTGCTTCTCTCGTCTAATGAAAGCAACGCTCCGTCCCCCTAGTACTCTAATCCAAAGTTCCAAAACCTTTCAGCTTGGGTTACAAAATCCTTTTCAGTGCCCAGAAGATTGCAATGCAGTAGACGACATGAATGACAAGCTCATAGAAACTGTCCATGCAGTCGGAGCTAAGTTCTGCAAGACTCGCCACAGAAGAACACAAAAACTCTCCAATCATTCTTAATCTCATGGCTGTTAGACGGGAAATGAAGCTGCAGTCTTCAACAGATATGATATGACAGCATACAGGCACCTGAACAGACAGATCTCCAAATTCATGCGGTGGGCATTCACTAACGCAACGTTAATACTGCTCGTATTGAAGAAGCGATCGAGCGGAACCAGGGCTCCGAAGTCTTTGCTGGAGATCTGTCTGCCAGAAAGAGCCAAATGTCAAAGCAGAAGACTTGTGTGGCAGCATCGTGTCCGGGACCCCTTAGATTTTGAGTGAGATTGAGAGGTTCTATGGGCAGCTCTACACATTATCGTTGGAGTCACACGCAAGTGTGAGTAACAATCCAAGAGCAAGTCTTATCCGACATTATTCCGATGATATTCCGGACGTCAGTCTGAGCAAGATTAGAATGGCTCTCAAGCACCTTTAAAACGGCAAAGCCTCAGGCAAGGATGAAATAACAGCGGAGCTTCTGAAAGCAGGTAGAACACCGGGACTTAGTACTTATGAAGCTCTTCAGTTCCGTCCTCCATGGTGGCACTACTCCGGAGGCGTGGTGCAGAGTGCGGGGATCTTGTTTTTCAAGAAAGGCAACAACGCTCTCTTGAAGAACTGCAGACCGATTTCCCTTCTGAGCAGCGTATACGTACTGTTTTCGAAAGTCATTACCCTGAACAAGCCGGTTTCCGAAAAGGCTTCAGTACTATAGACCACATAATAATAATAATAATAATAATAATGTCCTCCAGACCGAATTTCGGTCACGGCGGCCAGTCTCAACGGAGACTAGCCATCGGCGCAGGACAGGATTACAGTGCCCAAGTGTATGCGCAAGCACAGGTGCACTCTCTATTCCCTCACCCTCATAATCCGATGGGACGGTAAACCGACACGACCGGGAGAGATCGGGCGCAGGATCTACGGCTTTACGTGCTTTCCGAGGCACGGGGGTGAGACACCGCCAACTTCCTGTTCTCCGGGCAACTACTGAGAATTTCTTGAAGGAAAAACTCAATAATTGATTTTTGGGCCCGACCCGGGATTCAACCCAGGACCTCATAATCAGTAGTCGCACTACTACAACCACTAGACCAACGAGGCAGTCATAGACCACATACATACCCTGCGGCAGATTGTACAGAAGACAGAAGAGTACAATCTGCCACTTTGCCTGGCGTATGTGGACATGAGAAAGCCTTTGATTCCGTCGAAATTTTAGCGGTGTTACAGTGCCTTCAGCTGTGTTAAGTTGAATGTCGGTATATCGAAATCCTAAAGTGTTCGTACAGTAGGGCTATGATAGCTATCCGAGTAAAGAACCAGAGTACAAAACCTATCCAACTGCAGAGAGGTGTAAGACAGGGTGAAGTTACATCCCTGAAACTTCACCGCTGCTTTGGAAGATGTTTTCAAGCTACTGGACTGGAAAAGATTCGATATTAACATCAAGGGTGAGTATATCACTCTCCTTCGATTAGCCGACGATATAATCCTTGGCAGAATTGCTGGAGGACCTAATCACTATGCTGAATAACTTCAATAGTGCCTCCTAACGGATAGGTCTTAAGATGAACATGGAAAAAACAAAGATCATGTTTAATGTCCATGTTAAACCTATGTTGGTAGTTGTTGGGAGCACTAAGGTCGAAGTTGTTGACGAGTATATTTACCTGGGACAAAAATAGTCGTTAGGTAAGTCCAACTTTGACCGAGAGGTCTATCGGCGGATTCAACTCGGCTGGGCAGCGTACGGGAAATTACGACACATCTCGTCAGGTATACCTCAAAACCTGAAAACTAGATTGTACTACCAGTGCGTGTTGCCAGTGATGACTTACGGATCTGAGACGTGGTCCTTCACTGCTGGTCGTATGAGGATTCTCAAGGTCGCTCAGCGATCTATGGAGAGCTATGCTCGGGGTTTCTCTGCGTGATAAACTTAGAAATGAGGATATTCCAATTAGAACCAGAGTAACCGACATAGCCCAATGGATTAGTAAGCTGAAGTGGCAATGGGCCTTCTCAAAGAACTGACAGCCGATGAGGAAAAAAGTTCTTGAGTGGTAGCCTCTTACCGGTAGGCGTAGTGTAGAGCGACCCCCCGCTAGATGGAGTGACGACCTGGTAAGACATGCAGGAAGTCGATGGATGCAGGTTGCTCAGGACCATGCTTTGTGACATTCCTTGGGGGAGGCCTTTGTTCAGCAGTGGACTTGTGAAGGGCTGTAATGATGATGATGATAAATAGCGGCGCGAATATCCAATGAATGACGAAGGAATCAAGGAAGTGACACAACATTACTATTTAAAAATGTATTTATTGCTTTTCGAAGTATTCCCGAAATTTAATTTTCTGGTGGACCATTCCATTCGGAAGTTGGGGTCTCCAAAATGGCCGTTTTGTAGGCGTCCGCAGCTTCTTCAGGTGATGAAAATCTCTGTCCACGCAATTTATTCTTTATTTTAGGGAAAGTATAGAAATCATTAGGGCTTAGGTCGGGGCTGTACGGCGGATGGTCTAATAATTCTATGTTTTATTGCTCTAAGAACTCTTTTGTTCTGTGTGCGGTGTGAAAACTCGCATTGTCGTGATGGAGGATGATGCGGCGGTTGCAGTTCTCTTTACGGAGTTCAGAAACGACCTGTGGCAAACAAATGCTAGCATACCATTCTGCATTAACCGTTCTTTGTCCCTCAAGAGGAGTAGTCGTAACATGGCCGGTTTTGGAGACAAACGTGGCCACCATTTTTTTTGCAACACTCCGTGAATGAACAATTTTTGTTGGCTTTAACTCATTTTCGAACACCCAAAATTCGTGACTGGTTTTTTGTTTCGGGTTCGTACGCTTATATCCAGGATTCGTCACCTGATACGATGTTGTATACAGCATTTGAGGATCCTGCGTGGAATCTTTCGAGAGTTCTGACGCACCAAGTAACGCGAGCCGCTTTTTGCTCTTCACAGAGCGAATGCGGTATCCATCGGGAACACAACTTTTTTACACCTAATTGCAAGATTATTTGTATTTGACTCATGCCAATGTCTAAAGTTGCCTGAATTTCGCGGTATGTCACATGTCGATCTTCCTCAATCAGCTTACGCACAGCATCAACGTTTTCTTGGGTGACTGCAGTTTTTGGACGACCTTGACGGGGATCATCATTGAGCTTGACACGTCCACGTTGAAATTCAGCAAACCAGCGATAAATTGTGGTTTTGGATGGGGCTTCATCACCAAATGCAGAAATCATCCGGTCAACACACTTTTTTTTTGTTAAACCACTTCGAAAGTCATAATAAATCATCGCTCTTGAATTTTCTCTAGTTAATTCCATTTTCTCAACGACTAAACAAGTTTGACAAAACCTTGTGACAAGACCGAGAATCTTTTTTTAAATAAATAAATGGTATTCGATTTTTAAAACCAAGGAGTTTTCAATTAAAAAGATTTTAATGTGACAGGAACAGTGGAAATATTCCATTCCCGATACTTTTAGTGCAGCCCTCGTACCAATCTCGTGAAAGAATGTTCACCATTGTATATGGTAGGGCCATACTGCAGCTTTATTAGTAGTATAGATGTAGCAAGAATGAGTCAGTTCAACTGGGGAAGGACCACGCTCTCACAAAATACCAGTGTAAAATAGCAACTTAATGCTATGCTGTGTAGAGAACTGGAGATCCTATTTACTGGAAAGGAGGCATTACATCTTAGTCCTCACGGTTGACAACGCATCTGCATTTTGATTCGTAATCAAGGATAGACATAGAGGTCAGCCACAGCAACCACTTATCATCATGTGGACTGTGTGCTCATTGGTCAACCTTATCCTATAAAGAAAAAAATCCCCACCCGTGTACTTTACAAGAGACCTGGCTATTGCGCATATCAAGGCTGTGCTATTAACTAATTTGGCAACATATGCATATGTTACCAAATTACTAAAAATACGAGTGCTACAACGAAAAAGCGACCTATGATGTTCATCGCATACGCAGCCGACCTGGGGGCTTTTGCGGTTCCAAATTTGCAGCTGTCCATTTTATTCAATGTTGTGCCGGTGACCACCTAAATGTGTATAACGTTTACATAATTACTCCCTATTGATTTTAGCGATAAATAATAAAACTTATCGCAAAAATGACGTTTTTTTTATAACTTTCATTGAGAATTCTTGTACATTGAACAAAAATTATTCTATTCTATTGGGTGAGCCATGATAGTTCGGGTCTACGATTGCAAAGTAAGCCAGTAACCGTCTTCGATCTCCACCGGCACCAATAAAATTGTTATTTGCAATTCTAAGTGTTGATTTACAACATCCTCACAGGTGTGAGGAATAACATCGTGAGGAAATCTGTATGTCTGGGGAATAAAAAAATTTCGAAGACTTGGCGGTGGCTAATTGCTTCACACAAAAACAGATGGGATATATGTTGGCTATACCTTTATTTTTACTTTTAGATGGATCACAATGTGATTGTGTCAGATTATGCTGCCATGGACCGTGTCTTGAAAGAAGAACGCCAGTATATTCTAAATATAGTCAAACAAATCAAGAAGGCAGGCTGCAATGTCCTTTTGGTTCAAAAATCAATTTTGCGGTAAGTAAAGCCGGATTTATACTGGCGCCCGTTTTCTTAGATTTATGCGACAAAGTAACACCGTGCGGCATGTGACAACCTACCGCAAAATGCCGTGGCTCAGGATCCTTATCCGGATGCTATGGATTCTGTGTATCCATCAAACAGCGGCATGCTACATGGATCGCAAAATGTTGGCTATATTCTCGCATGTAATAAAAAGATGCTTGCCACATTTATGTAACATACCACACAATGTTGCCTGTCTTAATTATTACTCACGTAAAATAAAATTATTTTTCTGAAGAAGTAAATATTAAAGAACATCTTAATAAATTGTATTTATTAATTATTGTACCCTTTTCTCCACAGGGATGCGCTAAGTGATTTAGCTATACACTTTTTAGACAAAATCAAAACGATGGTCATCAAGGACATCGAGCGCGAAGATATCGAATTTGTCTGCAAAACGTTAGGTTGCCGTCCAATTGCTTCACTCGATCATTTCACAGCAGAAAATTTGGTTAATGTTGATTTAGTGGAAGAGGTTAATGAACCCAGTGGAAGGTACATTAAGGTATACTATCAACTCAATTGTTCAACCACACATGAATGTGAATTATATGTATGTATTAAAATGCATACATATTTTATTACTTGAGAACATACTCGTGCTTAGTGATGCAATATGCAACTGGCTATTGTAACAATATTATGGACTGTTCAGTGGACTTGTGTTGGATCAGTGGTAGTGATGGTGTGGTTCACAGATCACAAAAATTATGGAGTTATGACCTGATAAGACATGTCAGAAATAGATGGATGCAGGTGGCTCAGGACCAGTGGCGAAGCTAGGGTTCCAAACTAGGGCAAGCCCAAGATATGGTTTTGTTGTTTTAGCAGTTTAATAAAAATAAACCAACCTTGATCTGTCTCCACTCTTTAGTTTCAAAACCTCAATACATCTATTCATTTAATTTATTACATTAAAATTTGGACTTCATATTAAAAAAAAAGATTGTAACAATTATTTACTATAAAATTAAACTTATACCTAGGTATCTCATATTTTATGCTGAAGTTCAAAATAAGATTCTCAACTCACATGGTAATATAAGTATTGAGTTATTAAACCTTTAAATACGCCTAGAATGATTAAACTTTAATACTAAAGAGTCTTGTACCTATTTACATAATATGAAGAAATGTTTATTGAATTAAAATTTCATTTTTAAAGATTTTACCTTTTCCTCGCCGATTAGCACTTTAACGCACTTATATTCATCACAAGGAACACTATTATCCTCCCATTTTCACTAAAAATCTTTGAAAAAGCATAAATTTTCAACAGATACAACAAAAACAAACATAAACATTAAAATGTGAAGTAAACTTGCAAACATATCGCCCGTACCTCCACTCGATAGCGCATTCCTAAACAACTTCAGGGCAAAGCACGGCTTTTGATTCCATAGTAATTGCTATATAAACATTTCGTAGTTATATTTCATTATAGAACATTTTGCCACAAGTTAGAAAGGGAGCGATCGTCTTATCGAAAGCCCGGTAAGAAGCCAACGCGTGCGAGAGAGACGACAAAATCATTTCCTTGCTTTAATTAATTTTGACAGTCCAGTGTATTTCGAATTGAAAGCAAACTGCCAAGTGTTGACGTTACTTATTATATGCTACGGAGCGCGCAGGATATTTGAAATAGTTTGAAACAGTTCACGAGTTATTTTATTAGTTGATATTTTTGATTGAGCAGTTTTATAGAGCAAGCCCGGCTTCTGGGCTTCTATGGAGGCTTCGCCACTGCTCAGGACCGTGTTTTCTAGCCGTCGTTTGAAGAGGCTCATGTTCAGCTGCAAATTTATTAAGAGCTGTAATTATAGTATCGTGCTCCACAAGATGGACGTAAGAGAGGCACCAACGTCAAATGTGTGGGATGACTTGTACTGTAATTATTAACTGTGTGCCAAGTGTGACTGTTGAGATGAAATTCTACAATGGTAGAGACCCAGTCCAGTTGTGGACTTTTGTGGGCCGATCCATTACAGCCATTTTTTTAGAAAGATGTTGCTGTCCATCTTCTGTTGAATTTTTCTCTATCTCCTCTTACGACACCCACGTGACAATATGGGGTAGCGAATATTCTTATACCGCCACTACGCGGTTAACGAGCTGACGATGAAGACTAAACTTAAGCTCACCAATTTAATTTCTTTATATAAATAGGATTCTGTCTCATCTGTCAAAATAAAACCATGTGGACAGAAAGTAAAATAAAATGGGGGAAAGAAAGATAATCTACATCTAATATGTAGGTATACTATGTGTCACTCCTTTTACATTTATGGAGTTGAAGTTTATAAAAATAATATGTATAAAATAACAACATCTTAACACCATTATCCACACATACCATACAGTATTTATAAGTAGACTAGTTCCTATCGTTTGATTGTCCTAATTTTAGAATATAAGTAATATATAGATAACTTTAATATATGATATAGAATATGTTTACCCATACTGCCATGTAACATGAATAGGTATAGTAATGAAAGGGCGGACCCTCCAAACACAGGCATTTTTTTTTGCTTAAATGGAGGTTCCAATCTACTAGTTCTTAAGGCATGTACTAAAAAGTACATGCCTTAAGAACTAGTAAAAACTTAAAAAAAAACGAAATAAAATTTATTTATTTATTATCCAGGGCTGTGCGCCAACACATTTTGAAGAAGTGAGGTAACAAATAGGCGTAGTGAACTAAGTAAGCGCAATACTGCGCGGTGCAGCGCAGTGTGAATGAATTATACTTTATATATTATTTTATTACCTATGAATTATATAATATAATTAATCGGATAATCGGATGCATATTACTTAAAGTGTAGGTGTTGGCTATTATGGAATGCGCTTCACTTTTGTATCGAAAAAATCCCGGGATTTCGGAATCGACAAATTGTAGTAAAAAAAATACATATTTTTAGTAGGTATATTTACTTATTTTAACTTTTATATACATGATGTTAGGATGTAGTTCTATAAGTGAAACCAAACCAACGGTTTCAAGGATAACGGTGTTTACACTAACAGCGTGTATAAAAAAAACGCTAGAAATTATAATTTCCTCGTAATTTTTTTTTAAATTAACACCCACTACCTACTATTCCTTTTACACTCAACATACCTCATATATTGATAGGGAGTTTAAAATTAACTTCAAGTAAATACACATTAATAATTATGTAATCCCCCTGTTTTTTTTTAATAAAGACTTTTCGCGTTCCCTTATCTTCTGGAATATCGGGATTTATATTTAAAAAAATATGTTTTAAGAAGCCGCTTCCATAATTTCCTTGACAAAAATGAACTTTAGGTAAATATGCATCCGATTATCCTATCACTAATTATAATGTAAGGTAATGCAATATGTGGTGTTGCAGATGACTGGTTGCGGTAACGGCGGGCGCACGGTGTCGGTGCTGGTGCGCGGCACGAGCGGCGCGGTGGTAGCGGAGGCGGCGCGCTCGCTGCACGACGCGCTGTGCGTGGTGCGCTGCGTGGCGCGCCGGCCCGCGCTTCTACCCGGCGGAGGCGCGCCCGAGGCCGCCGCCTCCGCCGCCCTCGCGCGCGCCGCCATCGCCGCCCCCGGCGCCGACCACTACTGCCTGCGTGCCTTCGCTGATGCACTTGAAGTTATCCCATCTACACTCGCTGAAAATGCAGGTCAGCTTTAGATTACATACCCCTTTACCGCCTTAATATTCACTACCCAAATTATCCCATCAGTGTTGTAAGAGGCGACAGTGGTTAACATATCAGGATGGGTGCAACTTCTTCCTAATAACGACTAAAAATAAAGAAACTGCGGTTGCCAACCCGATTGCCAAACGTGGCTACTGTAACCAATCCCGCCTTAAGTGTCTGTATCTATATCAATTTAACAGATTCAATACACAAAAGTAGTGGGGGAGGGGTTAAAAAGTTCTACACCTTTTATGACGCAATCAATGGCGTAGGTCTATATTCAAAAGTAGACTTTACTAAGTTGTAATGGTAACAGTATTGTTGCGTGAATAAGTCAACGTCATACACTAGCGCCATCTAGTGTCAGGAACGAGAGCGAGGGGAACTTTGCAGAAAATGACATCACAAATCTTTCAATCGGCAGCGCCATCTAGTCTCAAACCAAAGAACTAAGTTTCTAGAAAATCTACACTCGAACACTCGTCGCTTTGCGCGCATTTACTTGAATATTCCGGATGCTTCATTGCTAATTTGTATATACAGGCGCTGCAAGATGCGATCGGGGCAGTATTGGATTTGGCGAGACAAGCGAAGCTTCGGAGCGGAATAAAGTGAATTAGTGTGTTTAATTATTAGTGTTTTAAGTTTTAATTTGTGTAAAGTAAATTAAAGTGTTAATTTAGGTAATTTTATCGGCAATTTTTATTGTCACGAACCTCAAACTCGTAACAGTATCAATAACGGCTTGCTTACTGTTAAGTCGGAATAAAAAAATTCTGGTTGCGATATGAAAATTACTAATAGAAGATTACAGTTTTATACTGTACTATAAGTAGCGACGCGAAATAACGCCGATACCTACTGTATAGTTTATAATATTTAAAATATTTACCGACATTTTAAAGCGATAATAGTCTATTCCTTACTATTTTAGCACAAAAATTGTAATAATAAGACAATAGAAGTCGCATAGACGCGTGACCTTGTCGCCGATATGATGTGTTGATGAACATCATTCACCATTTTGTGATTTAGTTGCGTGGGGAACGTCGTACGTGAATTTATGTTATTTTATAATGGTGAACTGCAGCATAATCAGTTGTAAAAACTCATCAAGGATGTGTAATTCAACTAATAAACGCATAAGTTATGCCATAACATTTCATCGATAAGTTGAATATTGACTAATTATCATTCTTTCAACTAATTTACATCTAGATGGATACTTTACTATGATATTTACCTTTGTAAACTTTCGTTTATTACTTTTCTTACTGTACAATTACTATTGCTGCTTTCGTTCTACCGTAATACACGACGCACGCGACGTTGAAAAACTCGCTAAGCAATGTAATGTGAAACATTAGATAATCATTGTCCATTGCAGTATGTTTATAATACGGCTGCAGGCATCGGTCGCTTAATGAGTATGTGTTAGTGAGGGTGACATCGGTTTTGGAAGTAATCGAGCGCTAATTCAGTTCTATTGTCTTATTATTACGATTTATGTGATTGTTTAGTATGTTTAAAAAGAGAGCTGCTGCAACTTACAATAAATTAACATGAAATTTTGAAATTATTCTTTAAAACATGTTCGCTTAAATATGGTCCTCTCTGTGTCACGCCGCCTTGACATATGCCGCATCTTGTCATTGGCGCTGCCGCGACATCAGCGTACAACCGGAGGAGTATTTGGCATTTTAAAACTAAGCACCGTAGTAAAAGGTTCTTTGCTACATAACTTGTGTTGATTACAATAACCATGAGAATAAAATAAAATACCATTTAAAAAACACAGTCAAAATAATAAAATAAACGCTTAATAATAAGTGCGCCTGCAGTTGTACTGACACTATCTTAGTGTATAGACTATACGAAAATATGTATATAAATATAATGTACAGTATCAAAACCGTAAAGTCAATTTTATGCGGGCGTGTCGTGTACGCAGGATTGAATCCCATCGAGACTGTGACGGAACTTCGCGCGGCGCACGCGGGTGCGGCGGCAGGCTGCGGCGCCGGCGTCAACGTGCGGCGCGGCCGCGTCACCGACATGCGCCAGGAGCACGTGCTACAGCCGCTGCACGTCACCGCCTCGGCGCTCGCCCTCGCCACCGAGACCGTGCGCACCATACTCAAGATCGACGACATCGTGAGTACCACTATTTTTTACCAAGGTTGACTGTATCGCTCGGTGACAGTGACAACTCAGATACAGACTGATAAGTTGCTCGACCAATTCGCATATTGTATGATGAGCGGTCTATGGTGATTAACAAACCCGAAACAACACGACTGTTATTATTGTAATTTTTAAGTTTGAACATTGACCTACTAGGAACTAGAACAAAATTCACAAAAAATTTATCTTGAGTCAACCTATATTAAGCGTATGAATATGTATAGAAATATAAAAAAAACTATTACATCCCAATTTAAACCATATTATCATTAAAAAACTGCTCAGTTTTACTTGCGACAATTTATCAGCCTATTATTTAACTTCGAATAGAGGCTGCACTATTTACACCTTAAGGAGTTTCTAGCGAAAACTACGTTAAATTGTTTTTACAATTTATATTTAATGACATATTATGTATCTAAGGAAAATATTATTTTTAAATGATCAAAGTCCTTATCGAAAATATGATACGCTTTCCTGTTTTCTCATTTTACTTAAGTAGTTTTTGCACGTATTTACAATCCAGTACGGCATTTTGGACGAGTTTTAAGTCGGTCGACAAAACAAAGACTGACGCACAATTGGAACTCTTTTGGCTCAGACACTTGAGCGCGGACCCGAGGTCTATTTAGTACTAGGTCAATGTTTAAACAAAAGTAAATACCAATAATGTGATTTAAAATTACTTCCTATAAGAAAGGTAACATCATATTTTGTCAATATGATGTGGCAGATCTCTTTTTTGGGGTTATTTTGTTTATTCACACTAAAGAATCATTCACACTAAAGAATCCACCCTAGGGTGGATAATCGGAATTTACTTTGTTCTTCCAACTTTTTACCCCAAATACAGTTCAACATACATACACTTTAATTATTTTATCATTACAACCCATTCAAGTCCACACATAACATATTGTATTTATTGTATTTCAATCAAATCAAACTTCCTCGTTTCAAATAATATTATGTCCAGGCAATTACCAACACTAATTTCATTATTGAGTAGACGTAATTTGATCCTGGATAAATTCGTCACTTAATGTACATTTGCAAAATTGTTTTTAAATTTCTTTGCTCACAGATGTGTTAGCGAAGAACCGGGAATTTCTTACAAGCATACTAAAAATGTTACAATTGGAAGTTTGTCATTATTTTATTCCAAGATTGCAATTAATCTGTAATCCTGTGATGTACTCCTTTTATTTCAACATTGACCTTTCAAACAAGAAATATTTATGTATATATTTTTATAGGTAATGTCTACTAATTATCTTGAATTAGTTTTTATCATGTTTCTATAAATTTCTTTCTATAAATGACTGTACACAGCCGAGGGGGAAAGTCAAAAGAGAAATAAAATACACGAATTCCGATTAAATAAAATATAATATATTATATGTAATAAAATATACCCCAGACAGGGTGGATAGATGAACACGCATTTCCGAGTATCCACCCTAGGGTGGATTCTTTGCGGTGGTTAAACAGAATAACCCATTTTTTGCAGCAAAAAACTGAACATTTCGCGTAAACAATTTTTGTAGGACGTCGATCAAGGCGCAACTAGATTTAGTCTAGTGAGCAGTGCGGCTGCGACTAGTTTTATTCTACGCATAGGATCATGTGGACCTATACTTGGACAGAGGGGACACCTGTCTATGGCTACTTACCTCCGATTTGCCGGTGTCCCGTGTTGCTCTATGTCCATTTCATCTACAGATAAATCAATTCGTTACTGCATTAATGGTTATTGTTTGTGTATTTATAACACTATCGATTTTTATACAATGAGATTTCTTGTTTTCTTTCTAGATTTGTTTCACTTTTTATTGTTTTTCTTTACTTTTCTACCTAGAAGTCTGTCTGGGTATGTACTTCCTTCAGACCAAATTCTGGCGACAAATAGCAGAGCACTGCTATTTATATCCTTCAAAGCACTGCAGTGTTCTGGTCTGATAGGTATAAATAATATAGGTATAGCCAGTATAATTAAAACTGTGAGGCATTTTATCTTATAGACCCCAGAGATGAAAACTTACATGAAGGCTGTTTTTGTTTAACCTTTTGAGCGCCACACCAAAAACGCACTACCGTGTCCTGTACGCCAAAGCGAAAATTAAACAAAAATACCTACGAAAAAACTAGTGTTGCCAAGAGTTGATATATCGATAACACAAAATAACTTGATTTTGCTGGTTTTTTACACAATAAATGACTCTTTATAATCTGGTATGTTTTATTTAATCTTGTGATGTACCTGTATTCCACTCTTTTTATATATGTACTTTGTACAAAAAAAATTACTAAATAAAAACAAACAATAACAATAAAATAGTAGTAAACCACATAACTACTCTTCATCGTGATGACGTCACTATCACGACTGGACGACAACGGCGTAGCTGACCTTGCTTTTTGAAACTTTCTTAGAGATATAGCCGTGTCGCACGTTGTGTATCGATTTCGAAATCGATCTAACCAAAATATACAGAGATCGACACAAAATATTTTATGTGTCGGGGGAGGCATAGGCCAAGTAAAGCCCAGAAGAAAAGTCTTACGTTCTTATGACAATGGGGGTTTGATATGATGCTGATGCTACCAGATGATTTTGAGATAATCATAACCATAATCTTTATTGCAATCAAATGGTAAACAATAGATGTGATGTTTTAAAAAAAATTGTCCGCATTTGAACCCAATTTGGGCGTAGCAAAATAAAATAAAAATATTAAATATTATTTTTAAACTACAATATTAGATTTCATTAATAAATTACATTATTAGGTTATATTATTTTAAAATTTTGTAAATTAAATTAAATGAATAATCACAATGTCAAGAAAAAATAATAATTATTATTATAAATAAAAATAAAATTAAGTAAAAAATAATAATGGAATAAAAAAAATTAAATTGAATTATATAGGCACAGGCCGAAGTTGTCCACAAAAATTAAATAATATTTGTATCATAATATTCACTTAAATTATAGAAACATTTTTCAATTAAATATAACTTTAATTTGGGTAAAAATAATGTAGTACTCGGTTTTATTAAAATTAATCTCTAGGTTGTGATGTGTCAGCCAATTTGTAACCTGGTTCAATACTTGATTCAATTTAATATTTAAATTCTGGTCTTTTGTATGCGGAATAAGAATGGAAATGTCATCAGCAAATATAATAGAGGTTTCAGTCAATACCCTAGATTGAGAAAGAAAATCGCACAACACAAAATTTAAAATTGCTCTTCATACCTTAAGAAAAAAATAAACATTTATTATTTGTAGTTTTATATTATTAAAATAAAAAAAATCATCATCATCAATGTTTTCCAAAATGCGAATGAGTTCTGAGGAATCGTTCATGTTGCATTGCACTACTTTTTCCGCTATTCGTTTATGACGTCATCAGGGTGTCGTCTATCCTTGAATACGGCGCCTAATGAACTGATAATCGATGACGCGCTAAGGATGCGCCAGAGTTGAGATATTAGATTTATTATGCGATGTTGATTTGATGAAATTTTCTTTTATTTATATAGCTGATGATAGTTTTATGTTTCTTACCTTTTGTTTTATTCAAATATCAATAATAATTTAAAAAATAACACGTTTGCGTTTAATTTTGAATAGTTTTCAATAAATTATGCCTAACGCATTACAACACTAGCGGTCAAACATAGACGACTTTGGCGTGCTCGATATGGTATTTACTTAGATAAAAATCCATTTTTTTTAGTTCAATGTTTCTTAGTACTCGTGGCTCTAGGAGACTTGTTTTTTATACTCACATGTTGCTGGGTTATTCTTTTTTGAGGAGTGTAGAATTAAAATACCAGTAATAATTTTCCAATATCTTTATTTCATATTTTTATGGGCCGGGTTTTTTGTCAACTATAGACGTCGTTGGCGCTCAGACCTCGCAGGTGCTGGTCAAGTATAGGCGACTTTGGCGCTCAAAAGGTTAAAGTTAGTTGCAGGTAGCTTACCATTAGGACGAAGGAAAAAGTGTACAGCTTCTGTGTACACTCTCTAATTCTCAACTTCACTCTAAAAATTTTACGGGGAAAAAAAGGATTTTTCTGTATTATGCTAAATTCCATTAAATAGGCAGGTTACTTATCAGACTAGCCCTATAATTAACTGACTATATGAATAAACCATTAGGCTGCAATATAAAATAATTTAATAGTGCCATAATACATACATAAATTTATCATAGAATAACAGTGGTAATTAATCAATCAAGTATCTATAATGTATATTTAATTAACAATATATAATATAAATAAATTTTTGTTTCAGGTAAATACTGTAAACTGAAAGTAACATTGACACTATTTAACTAAGTATTAATTTATGTTAAATTGTAGCTTCAGCTCGATAATAATGTTATTTTATTTGTGGATTTACTATTATAGTATAGTAGATTTACTTACTATAGTACTTCTAGGTCATTAATTGTAACTTCTAACTCAAGCATTTAATGTCAGAATTCCTTATGTATTCTTTTGTTTTAGCTTTAAATAACTCTGCCAATAACTAAATAAAATTTCGAAATGAAATAATATTACTGTTTGGTTTTATTTATTTGATACTTTATTACCTCATTACACTTATATGATTATCGTTGATATGGGTGTATTTGGTTCGCTGCTTTAATGTTTGTTTTAATAGCTGAAGGTGCTTTAGGCATGGCAGGGGCAGCTGGACCAAGTTGCGGCGCAGGCCCACGTGAAGGTCCCATGCCTGGCGCCCCTACTCCTTGCGGTACAATGGAAGGCATGCCAGGTCTTAGCCCCTTTCCTGTTCCAACTGCAGTTACTAATGCATGTGTATCAGCTATACTATGAGTGGGCTGCATACCTTTAAAAAAAAACATTACTATCGTAAATTAAACGGAACACATACAGTAAATTCATGTTGTCAATGTTATATATAACATATAAGCAACTTCCACATTCCCCCTAAGTGAAGTAGAAGTAACTTTTGGGAAAATAAATATATAATTATTAACCTCGCATTCTTATCATATACAGGTGTCTAATAAGTCAATGTTATAACATATAAGCAACTTTCGCATTCCGCATGAGTGAAATTAATGTTAAATAGTATAAATGTTACCTAAATATAGAAATATTTAGGCAACATTATTTTGGAGATAGAGGGTAGAATATAAAAAGAGGAATACATGTAAGGAAAGAGCTCGAAACCCCCACATGCGTCAGCAATATTTACGTTAGATGTAGATGACGGCATTCCGACTGGCATTTATTAATAGGTTATCTTGAGCATAGAAATTCTGTCGATTGTGATTATTCTGTCGTTAAGCTGACCAATGTGCATGCGTGCGTGTGTGCGTGAGCTGTATTGTTGTTTTTTGCATAATAGTGCTCTTACTGACTGGGAGATGGCGCTAGTATCAACGTAAAAGCAAGCTACTTAGGATATTCATAACCCTGGTCACCAATATGTATTACGGTATTTTAATTGTATCAGGCTACGTCGCATGTATAGTGCGTTACGCCTCTTTATTACTGACTAGCGATTCGCTCCTTGCTTGAGCACTTCGATATACCAACCGTTCACTTGGCACCGCTGAAGGGACTGCAGCACCGCTCAAATTTCAACGGAAACAAAGGTTTTCTCATAGTCCACATACGCAAGGCAAAATGGCAGATTGTACTCCTCGGTCTTCTGTATAATTTGCGGAAGGGTTTGGTATGTGGTCTATGGTACTAAAGCCTTTTGGGTGACCGTCTTGTTCTGGGGGCCGGAAGTCGTCGAGTTTGCGTGCGAGACGATTCGTAATGACTCGAAAATAGCACGTAGACGCGGCTCAGAAGTGAAAACAGTTTGTAGTTCCTTAAATGAGCGTTGTCGCCTTTCTTGAAGAACAAGACCACTGCACTTTCGCTCCATGCCTTGGGAGGACTTAAAGAGCTTCTGAAGGACTTCAAGTACCGATTTTCCACCCGCTTTCAGAATCTATGCTGTAATTCCATCCTCACCCGGGGACTTCCCATTTTTAAGGTGCTGGAGAGCCATTCTAATCTCGCTCAGACTGACGTTCGGAATAGTGTCGGATAAGACTTGCTCTCGGATTTTTATTCACACTTGCGTGTGGCTCCAACGGTGGTGTGTATAGCTGCCCATAAAACATCTCAATCTCACTCAAAATCTCCGGTGTCCCAATAACAATACTGTAATATTAGGTTGCATGAGGCCCGTCGAATGCATTTGGAGATAGATCTGGTTGTTGAGTTGCCTGTATGCTGTTAAATCTGCTAAAGACTGTAGCTTCATTTCCCGTTCAACAGCCATGAAATTAAGAGTGTGATCTTCTGCGGTAGGTCTTGCAGAACTTAGCTGCGAGCGCATGGACAGTTTCTAGGAGCTTGTTATTCATATCGCATAGAAGACACCGTTGTAATATTTATTGATATCGTCTAGAAGACATCGTTGTAAGATTTCAATTTTACTTAAAGCATCATACAAAATTTTCAATAAAATTAAATAATAAAAAAATGCTGAGTAATATCGTGTTTTTGGGTGAACACCAAACGCCTGCAAATGATTCCATGTACGTGTCACTCCTAAACGAGCGTACCGATACGCAAGCCAAGCCGACCGCAAACGTCGCGGGCAGGGGGATACTCAGCTCCCCTTCATACCGCGCCCCATCTAGTCGCCGAATTGACCCACTATAAGTATTTATTACATATATGACGTAATACACCTTACACACTTTAATGGCGGCTATCAATAAAAATGCACAAATGTGATTGTAGGGCCGCTTCTGAAAGAAAGAGTTCATCATAAAGAGTCCCTCTTTCTCCATAAAGTCGGCCAGCTGCTGGCCCCTTAGGTTCCATTGCCCTATCCCAAATTTCTCTACCTTGAGCGCACCGTTCTCCCTTGTCCCTAGTTTTGCGTTGAAATATCTCATTAACACTGTATTTTGGGTTTTGGAAGAATGCATGGCTCTAAATATATCCTCATACTAGGCTGCACTAAAAGTATCGGGAATGGAATATTTCCACTGTTCCTGTCATATTAAAATCTTTTTAATTGAAAACTCCTTGGTTTTAAAAATCGAATACTATTTATTTATTTAAAAAAAGATTCTCGGTCTTCTCACAAGGTTGTGTCAAACTTGTTTAGTCATTGAGAAAATGGAATTGACACGAGAAAATTCCAGAGCGATGATTTATTATCACTTTCGAAGTGGTTTAACACAAAAACAGTGTGTTGACCGGATGATTTCTGCATTTGGTGATGAAGTCCCATCCAAAACCACAATTTATCGCTGGTTTGCTGAATTTCAACGTGGACGTATCAAGCTCAATGATGATCCCCGTCAAGGTCGTCCAAAAACTGCAGTCACCCAAGAAAACGTTAATGCTGTGCGTAAGCTGATTGAGGAAGATCGACATGTGACATACCGCGAAATTCAGGCAACTTTAGACATTGGCATGAGTCAAATACAAATAATCTTGCATGAACAATTAGGTGTAAAAAAGTTGTTTTCCCGATGGATACCGCATTCGCTCTGCGAAGAGCAAAAAGCGGCTCGCGTTACTTGGTGCGTTAGAACTCTCGAAAGATTCCACGCAGGATCCTCAAATGCTGTATTACAACATCGTATCAGGTGACGAATCCTGGATATACGCCTACGAACCCGAAACAAAAAACCAGTCACGAGTTTGGGTGTTCGAAAATGGGTTAAAGTCAACAAAAATTGTTCGTTCACGGAGTGTTGCAAAAAAAATGGTGACCACGTCTCCAAAACCGGATATGTTACGACTATTCCTCTTGAGGGACAAAGAACGGTTAATGCAGAATGGTATGCTAGCATTTGTTTGCCACAGGTCGTTTCTGAACTTCGTAAAGAGAACTGCAACCGCCGCATCATCCTCCATCACGACAATGCGAGTTCTCATAACGCCACACAGAACAAGAGTTCTTAGAGCAAGAAAACATAGAATTATTAGACCATCCGCCGTACAGCCCCGACCTAAGCCCTAATGATTTCTATACTTTCCCTAAAATAAAGAACAAACTGCGTGGACAGAGATTTTCATCACCTGAAGAAGCTGTGAACGCCTACAAAACGGCCATTTTGGAGACCCCAACTTCCGAATGGAATGGTTGCTTCAATGATTGGTTCCATCGTATGGAAAAATGTGTCAAATTTCGCGGAGAATACTTCGAAAAGCAATAAATATATTTTTAAATAGTAATGTGTCACTTCCTTGATTCCCGAAATTTTCAGTGCCGCCCTCGCCTCGCCCTACACTTCCTCAATTTCATTATCGGGATATACCGAAGTTGGTGCGTAAACTTGTATGACCTTCAGAGAATACCGTTCGGTGATTCTGAGTAAAAGGTACGCAACCCTCGTCGACACACTGCCAATCTTTACAACGTGGTTAACGAGAAACTTGTAGACGATACAACCGACACCATAAATGGTCGCCTGCCCGGTGATAGAATTGAATTAAAATTGCCGGATTCGAGAATTACCGTGTCCTTCCCATCTCTTTGGACTTCAGATAAGCCAACAATATTCCAGCGCAAATTTTCTATCTCTTCTTCCAGCTCCAAGATCTTCTCGTCAGTCCTCAGGGTGCGTGCGATGTATGTCACCAGGTCGAGTCGTCTTAGGTGACAATCAAACCTTCACCGGAGATTCTTAACACCTCCTGCCCTGCCACTATCATGGTCGCCATCGAGCCCAGAATAACGGGGCCGACGGGAACTGGGGGCCATATCTTCGTAGCTCTCATCATGGGGGGTATATTGCCATAGTTGCCACGCTTGGCGAGCGGGTTGGCGACCGTAGTTTTTTTTTTATTGTTTTGTATTTATGTTTTTGTTAAAAATAATTTAAGTGGTAAATGCTGGAAGTGAAAAATGGAATTACAAAAAAATTACGCAGATGGAGAATATGAAGGAAAATTTACACTGTTACAATTTATTACACTGGTGTTAAGACATAGCGTAATTGAAGAATTTAAAGCCCCGACATCAAGTGTGGAAAATATTTTACTTATTTTAACTTTTAAGTAGTCATTCTGTAATTTTTTTAAGTTATTTTTTTACCCTTTTGAGCGGACTTCGGAATATCACAAGAACAATAATGCCGTCTAACAAAGATTTAAAACAATTATTACAAATTTAAAATTTATATGGTGAAGTTAAATTGTTACCTGCTGATCTCATAGATTCACCCTCCCAATCTTCACGTCCTTTTGATATAATTTCCCACACATGACTTATGACTTTTGTAAATTGAGCAACTTGTTTCTGCATTAAGAAAC